CTCCTGGGCCCAGGCAATCCTCTCACCTCTGCCTCCCAAAGTGCTGAGATTACAGGTATGAGTCACTGTGCCCTGCCAAATAGGTGGTTTTTGACAGGGTTATGGGTTAATAATTCGTTTTTGGTATGTTGATAAACTGTGAAATATTTAAGATGCTCTATTCTGAGTGACCTTAGGCCCATGACACCTGTCCCAGAAGCCATGACCATCGCAGCCTCAACCTGCTGGGCTCAGGCGATCCTATTGCCTCAGCCTCCCAAGTAGCTGGAACTACAAGTGTGCACCACCACGGCTGACTGATTTTTTAAAATTTATTGTAGAGACAAGGTCTTGCCAAGTTGCCCATACTGGTCTGGGACCCCTGGGCTTAGGTGATTCTCACGCCTCCACCTCCCAAAGTGCTGAGATTACAGCCGTGAGCCACCTCACCTGGCCAATATCTTGCTTACATACATTTTAGGAAGACAAAAATTACCAAAAACTGTAAATCAATACATGTGAGATTTACATAGGTTTGGCCTAGGGAGGCAGGACATCTCCATGCATGGGCTTACAGCTTATAGGTGGATTCAAAGATTTTCTGATGGTTAATTGGTAGCAAGAGTTATGCTCTTATTTAAGGAATTTTGAAAACAGTATAGGAAATAGGCTACTTGAGGAATAATGAGGGAGTCAAATTTCCTGATATGTAGATGAAGCCTCAGAGGTGGCAGACTTCAGAGAGAACAGGTAGTGTCTTAAAAGGTGCCCAGAGGCTGGGCTCAGTGGTTTAGCCTGTAATCCCAGCACTTTGGAAGGCTGAGGCAAGTGGATTGCCTTAGCCTGTGGGTTCGAGACCAACCTGGGCAACTTGGCAAGACCTCATCTCTACAATAAATCAAAAATTAGCTGGGTGTGGTAGTGTGTGCCCGTAGTTCCAGTCTGGGTGACAGAGTGAGACTCCGACTCAAAAAAAAAAAAAAATTGAGCCAGGCTCAGTGACTCAGCCTGTAATCCCGTGCCTTTGGGAGACTGAGGTGAGTGGATTGCCTGAGCCCACGGGTTCAAGATGTGCCTGGGCAACTTGGCGAGACCTCATCCCTACAATAAATCAAAAAATGAGCCGGGCGTGGTAGCATGCGCCTGTAGTTCCAGCTACTT